CCACGCCTCCCTGTGCCTGGGGTCGACACCCACCCCCATCCCGCAGCCTCCCCAGAAAGCCCCCACCCGGCTTCCACCCGCACCCAGAGCCCCAGGGCCTGCTCTTGCCCTGCCCACCTGGAGCGGCAGGAGGGGCCCCTGCCTGTCCCAGCCACCGCCACCCCCACCCCCGCACCCGCTTACCTCCTCCTTCCCCTCTCAGGGCGTTCCCTCCTCCAGGAAGCCCTCAGCACCCCTGCAGACACATCCCCCAGTCCCCCCTCACCTCTTACCTCCTTCCCTTCCCCACCCCTGACATAACTCTGCCCCTGGAGGCCGTGCCTGAGGCTGCCTCATTCCTCCTTGGATCCCCAGCGCCCCTCACTCCCCATGGCCATGACTCCAGAGGCAGCTGGACACAGCCAGCTCAAACCCACCTCAAAGGATCCGGCCCCACAGGCCGGTGAGTTAGGAAACCCTTGGAACCCTGGCAAGGTCCTCAAAGGATAAGTCTGAGGCCGTCCTGCCCACCCCCTCCATTTTTGCAGGTGGGGAAACTGAGGCCCAGGACCACACAGCAACTTGGGGTGTTCCATGGGGGCAGCTCTGGGCATACAGGCTCCGAGCAGAGGTGCCCAAAGCCCAGAGGCACCATTCTGGGTGGGCCTCTGAGGTGGGCACAGCCGCTGGGTCCCCGCCCCCAGGGTGTGGAATGAAGCAAAGGGACAGGCGCTGGACCTGCCCCCGCCGTGGAGCCCCGGTCACTCAGACCGCTGGGGAACGAGCAGGGTGCCCCAGAGGGACGGAGACCCCGTGGACAGCAGTCAGGAAGGGTGCATTCAGGCAGTGACGCACAGTCGAGGCCGGACCGGTTGAGAAGCCGGTCCTGTGACATGCCAGAGCAGCCACCAGGCCGGAGCAGAGCACATGCAAGACCCCGGGGCAGCTAGGAGTGTCCAAGGGTCAGCAAACAGTATGCTGGCGTGGAGGACGTGAGCGGGTGGGGGGACAGCAGTGCAGGGCCAGTGCCTGAGTGGGCAGCAGTTTGGGGGCCCGAGAGAGGCCTCTAAATGCCACAGGGAGCTTCTAGGATGATCAGGTGTAGGTTTTAGAAAGCCCCCCAACCTCTGCCCCAACCAATGGCTGCTGCGTGGAGAGGGCTCCTGGGGGGACGTGAGGGTGGCAGCGAGGTACTGGTGTGAGAAAATGGGGGACACGGGAGGTGGCATAAGGCCTCTCCCCTCAAAGGGGTGGAAAAGCAGGAGTGGGCTCTCCGCGTGGAGCAGTGGAGCTGTTCACTGGTACAGCCATCCTGGCCCTGCCCCCTCTCCCCTCCCCAAATCATGCTGAGCCCCCAACATCAGCAGGGGGAACTGTGCCCGCAGTTCAGAAAATGGCCACCAGGTGGCACACGGGCCTCAGAGATGCCAGGACAGTGGCTGGGGGCTGTGCCAAGGAGGGAGAGCTGCGGGCGGTTGGGGGGGGGGGGGCAAGAGGCTGCCGGGAAGGGGGCTTCGGGGTGTGACGGGGCCCTCAGCCACCTCCCCCAGCTCTGGGCCACACCACACCGCGACTTCTGCCGCCAGGAGCCCTGTCTGAACGTGAGAAGTGCCGTCTGGGGGGAAGTGCTCCTGGCCAGTCCAAGGGGAGAGTGGAGGCCAGACCAGAGGGGGCCCGCGGCCGCCAGGGTCCGCCCCCCACTCCGGGGCTGTCCTGGGGGTCCCCACCTTCAGCACAGGCCGGGGCTCCACGGACACATCAGTGGTGATTCCCACTCTCCCAGCCGCACCCAGAGGCCCTGCCTGAGCTGCCACCTGACTCAGGGCCCTCAAGGCGGACAGACTGGGATGCAGGGCCCGGGGGTGGAGGGTGGTCCCTGGGTGCCTTACGTCAACCCGGAGCTGAGTGTGGTTGAAGCCACTTAGAACCCAGAGTGAACCTCCCAGCAGAGGAGGAACTGCCCCAAGCCACTCAGGGGGCCTTATGGCTGAACTGTGCCCCCAAAGTCATGTGTTGGAGCCCTAACCCCAGCACCCCAGAGTGTGACTGCACTTGGGTGAGTAGGTAAAATGAGGTCACTAGCGTGGGTCCTAATCCCACAGGCCTGGCGTCCTTACAAGAAGACATCAGGACACAGACACACACGCAGAGCGACGACCACGTGAGGACACGGGGAGCAGACGGCCGTCTCCACGCTGAGGAGAGAGGCTCCAGGAGGAGCCGGCCCTGCCCACGCCTAGGCCTCGGATTCCAGCCTCCAGGACTGCGGACAGTGACTGCCTGTTGTTTGAGCCGCCGTCTGTGGACTTCGTTACGGCCCGAGGAGACTCACGTTGCGGGGAGAGGCCGGCCAGGCCCTTGGGCCCAGCACAACTGACACATTTGGTCGAAGGGCAGCCTTGGAGTCGGGCCCAGCCTGCCAGCGTCTTCCCAGCCCCTCCCAGCTGCTGCCTCCCGAAGACCGTTCTCAGCCGGATGAGGAGCTTGGGCCCGGGGCCACAAGGAGAGGACTCCAGGAGCAACTCACAGAGTGCACGTGCTTCCTGGGGTCCGGGCAGGGGCTCCGATGGCCGTATGATAACCCAGAGCGCCAGACACCCCCCAACTTTCTCCACTCCCCACCCCTGTGGTCTGGCAGGGGGTAAGGAAGGCTGGCCAGAAGGAGGGACAGTCCCCACCTTGGAAGCAGACACAAGGTAGGTGAGGGCACCTGGGACGCCCATGGCAGACAAAGCAGCTCACCTGCAGGGGGATGGGCCGAGCCGCCCCAGGGCCTGCCCAGAACAGAGGCTTGGGGACATTCCTCTCCAGGCCAGTAGCGGCCACCACACCACCTGAGTTCATTCCTCTGGGGAGCTGCAGCCCCGGGGCCTTGGCACGGACCTGGCTGGCACCCGGACTACTTCCACGGGTCCCCAGGGCCAGGGGATGGGGAGGAGGCAGGAGTCCCCCATGACCCCAAAAGCCCATCCCTCTCGCTGGGACGGCAGCCACCCTGCTTTTTGCCATTAAGCACGTCCCCACTTTTACATGAGAAAGCAGAGCCTCATAATAAACAAAATGCTGGGACCCAGGACAGCTATCCCAGGAAATCGAGGCCATCCACCACCTCCACGGGTGCAAGAAAGACACCCGACAAAAGTCCGCGTCGTCACGCTGGACTCACACCCTCGTGAGGCACTCCCGCCGCGAGGACGCACACACCCCTCGGGCCCGAGGCCGCCACGCTCCTCCAGGAGGGGCCGGGC